AATTTTAGGCACTGTGCCGAGAATACAGGACAACAGAGCATGTGCAGAGCAGGGTGAGACAGGGCATTGCTGGATTTTAAACAGTATAGACACTTATTTTTAACCACTTCATGTCCGGACACTTTCACCCCCTTCCTGTCCAGGCCAATTTTCAGCTTTCAGCGCTATCACACTTTGAATGACAATTGCGCGGTCATGCAACACTGTACCCATATGAACTTTTTAGCATTTTTTTTGAGACAGATAAAGCTTTATTTTGGTGGTATTTATTCACCACTGGATTTTTTTTTTTTTTGCTATATAAATGAAAAAGTCCAAAAATTTTGAAACAAATGTTTTTCTTATAAAATTTTGCAATTAAATAATATTTCATCATAAATCATCAAAATTTATTCAGTTATCTTTTCAGTAAAAAAAAAAATAACCCACATTAGTTTATAACCAAAAATCATAATTTTTTTTTTTTTTTTTTTTTTTTTAAATAATTTTCTATACTATTTGTTTTTTTTTCTTACATACTGACACCCTATCAGTACAGTGTCACCATGGTGACACTGTACTACTTGTGGGGGGTGATGAAGGTCTTTTTTTTTTTTAACACAGACTGCTTTTACACCCATTGCTGTAAAAGCAATCATTTCTCCTTCTCTGGCTGCATTCTTGCAGCCATTGAGAACTACTGTGTGAGCTGTGATTGGTCACAGCTTGTCACATGGTACTAGGCTGTTGTGAATAGCCTTGTACCATGTGACCTCTGTGATCATTCACAGATTTCACACGTAGTAAGCAATGACGTCAGAAGTGACATCTTGCTTACTACTCTGCATGTGATCACTGATTGGCCAATCAGTGATCACATGATCGGGACCTCGCACACAGGTCCCGTAAGACGATCGGTATTCCACTGTGTCCGGAGGACACAGCGGGCAACAGATTGCGGTGCTGCGCGCTCCCAGGGAGCTCGCACAAGCAGGGGGTGGGGAGCACATTTATAAATGGCCACCCACTCCTGCACTGCCACCGCCCGGCTGTTTATATATACAACGGCCGGACAGGAGGTGGTTAATGTTTTACAAAGCTGTATCTGTAAAAGAGCCAGCCTGAAGTGATCTGTCAGCACTTAGCCTGGGTTCACATTGCTGCGGTATGGCACATCGCATGTGATTTGCACAGGAAGCGCACCGCATTCCTGTGCATATCACATGCGATTTCTGGACAGTGCAATTTGAGCCATACATTTTGTATGGCTCAGATCGCACTGCATCCGCACCAAAAAAGTGCAGGAACCTTTTTTTGTCCGTACCAGAATCGGATCGCATGGGTATTTACACCTGTGCCATCTGATTCTGCACATCGCACTGCCTTTTGCGAACCAATTTCGGGGTGTTGTTAACTTAATATACAGACCTGCAGCGGTTCGCATCAACAGGGTGCAATTAAGATGCTGTGTGGAAATTGGACAGAACCTGGTGCAAAATCCACCCTGCATCAGTGTGAACCCAGGCTTAATGTTCTGACTAAAGTTCCACTTTACATATTATAATTTATATTTAAATTATGAAAAAAAATAATAATTGCACATATTTTTTCAGGAAAAAAAAAGTGAATTTTTTTCCACAGCAAAGTATTGCACCTGCGATTAGCAGAATGTGGTTATAATGTCAAGTTACTACGGGCACTTCTTACAGCTCTCTGCCTGTACCTCCTTACAGGCTTTTAGTTACAAATCTGTAGGAGGCAGGGGCGCACTGACCATTTGGAAACTCGGGCACTGCCCAAGGGCCCGGAGTCAGTAGGGAGCCCCATGAGATGCCCCTGGTACCTTTTTCATAGGCTTTTTTGAGTTTGGGCAAGGACACAGGGGCCCCATGATCCCCTATTGCCCGGGGGCCCCATGAGTTGTCAGTCCGCCCCTGGTAGGAAATGTCAATGGATGACAAGTGTGCTGATTAGTGCACTCACGGTCCACTCAGAACTAAAAGTGTGTCTGCAATGATGGGGGACAGGACTTGTAGTTTATTCATTCACAGATCTCTTTGAATGAATGATGCAGCTGTGAGAGTTGATTTTAAATGTAACAGCACCTGCAGGGGAAAAGAACCCCTATCATGGAGGAGATCAGCTATGAGGAAAGATTAGAGGAACTGAATGTATTCTCTCTTGAGAAGAGGAGATTAAGGGGGGATATTATCAACATGCATAAATACATCAGTGGTTCATATAGTGAACTCGGTGTAGAGCTATTCACCCTGAGGTCATCACAGAGGACAAGGGGGCACTCTTTACAGCTGGAGGAAAAGAAATGTAATCTCCAAACACAGAAAGGTTTCTTCACAGTGAGAGCTGTGAAAATGTGGAATAGATTCCCTCAAGAGCCAGCTGAGCCAGCTCAGTGGATTGCTTTAAAAAGGCCTGGATTGTTTCTTAGATACACAGAATATAACTGGATACGAACATTTATAGGTAAAGTTGATCCAGGGAATATCCGATTGCCTCTTGGGGGATCAGAAAGGAATTTTGTTTCCCAGCAGGAGCAAACTGGATTGTGCTTTGCCTTTTTTGCCTTCCTCTGGATCAACTGTGGGTATAGGATTATAACTTTTTTTTTTTTTCTATGACCTGGATGTACTTTTGTCTTTTTTCAGCCTGACTAACTATGTAACTATGTGCTGTTACAGGTAGGGGGGCTCTGGGGGTGGGTGCTTAGGAACATGTTACACGCTATATACGAGTATAATATGTTTTGAAGAGTGAACCTATCCTTTAATGCTTTTTCTTACCTTTGCTTGCAGTGGAAAGGCAGCTAAAATACAGTCCAGGACCAGTGCCCACTGCCTACACCACACCATAAAGACTGACATGAAGGGGTACATAGGAAGTTCCGACTGGATCATGGAAGCACAGCTTTTAATCCTGCTTGTTTTATGCTTTTTATATGTGCCTGACTGCTTTTATAATTTCACTTTCACATGCTTTTTAGCGTCCTAACAATGAACTGAAGACATTCTGCAATGCTGATAACACCAGACACTTAATTTACACTTCTAAATATATACAGCGATTGGTGCAAATGCTGCAGCACAGTAATCTGTATGAATGCTTGATAGTGTATGGGCGAGGTATGAAACATATGATTGAGGAAAGGCAGCAAGGAATGTCCCTCAGGATGTGGTGTCATGATGAGAGATCACAGGGTGGTACTGTGTAATTACCGTTGAGGCTATACTACTGTAGTAAAGGTTAGTGAAAGAGGAATAATGTTCATGAGGAACTCCTGCAGAGAGTTTGAATTTAATGTTAATAGAATGATGAACATAGCACAGAAGACAAAAGGGCAATTGTCATTCAGGTTTAACATTTTAATAGTAATAGGTCACAACCTATTTACAGCGCATACTGTGTATGGACAGCAGAACCACTAAGAGAATTTTTGCCTATATATTTTTTTTATTATTATGTATAAAGATTTTTGTAATTTTAATTATTGACAGCAGGGGTGGACTGACAACTCATGGGCCCCCCCCCGGGCAATAGGGGATCATGGGGCCCCTGTGTCCTTGCCCAAACTCAAAAAAGCCTATGAAAAAGGTACCAGGGGCATCTCATGGGGCCCCCTACTGACCCCAGGCCCTCGGGCAGTGCCCAAGTTTCCAAATGGTCAGTCCGCCCCTGATTGACAGTTTGTCTTAAAGTTTTTCTTATATAGTGTGTATTCTGTTTCCTCCACAAGATGGCGGCGTCCATAGGTGCTATATTTATTATTTCGTTTGTTATACACCCATTTTCGGGAAGGTTGATTGTTTAATTGACCTGTAGGTAATTTTGAAAGTTCCACATTTATCTTTTTTTGGCAGCTTATTATTTATAATCTATTTTTTATTTAGTTTAAAATATTTTTGGGGTTGTTCCATGCGGAGGCCTACTTCCAATGCTAACATCGTGGGTCCCGGTTGGCTAATCTTATTTCCGGTACGTTGGGACTTTTCAGGTTAATGGAGCACAATTAATAAGGAAGGAGGGCCTCTCCCCTCTCCCTATTTATTGGGTGCGACGTCGCGTGCTGACCACGCCCCTGACAACATCCTATGAGTTACGAAATACATAGGGTAGAGCCTCGATGAGTGACGTCACTACGCACCGTGGCCATTTTGATTTATGGAAACTTTCATACAGACATGCTGATGTTTATCTTGCTGATTGTAAGTGCAATACTTTTAACCACTTGCTATACCCCCTTCCTGCCCAGGCCAATTTCCAGCTTTCAGCGCTGTTGCACTTTGAATGACAATTGCGCGGTCATGCAGCACTGTACCCATATGAAATGTTTATCAATTTTTTGTGACAGATAGAGCTTTATTTTGGTGGTATTTAATCAACTCTGGGTTTTTTATTTTTTCTTAAACAAACCAAAAAACACTGAAAATTTTGGAAAAAAAAAGTTTTTTCTAAGGCTACATTCACACTAGCCTTGTGTGCAGGCGGCAGAGAGGCGTTTGGTAAGCGTTTTTACCGCTTCCCAAACGCCTCTGCCAATTCTGCACATTACAGCACATGGTGCTGTTCTAACGGGAGCGTTTGCGTCGCGTCGCGGCAAAACGGACGCCTCTGGACGAGTCAGGAGGCTTTGAAGCCTCCTATTCTCGTCTATGGTGCCGCTCCGCAAACGCCCGGCCGGCGTTTGCGGTGCGGTTGCAGTGCGGTTGCGGGGCGTTTGCGGAGCGGGTAACACCACTCAAACTGCATTATAGGCGTTTGTGGGGCGTTATTAACGCTCGGCAAACACCTAGCAACCGCCGCTAAACCGCGCATGCGGCGTTTGCGGAGCGTTTGCCGAGCGTTAATAACGCTCCGCAAACGCCGGACCAACGCTTGCCAAAAGCTATAGGGGCGTTTGGCAAGAGTTGGCAAAACAGCCTAGTGTGAACGAGCCCTTAGTTTTTGTTATAAAATTTTGTAAATAAATTATTTTTCTCCTTCACTGATGTGCGCTAATGAGGCTGCAGTGATGGGCACTGATAGGCTGCACTGATGGACACAGATAGGTGGCATTGATGGGCACTGATGAGGAGGCACTGGTAGGTGGCACTGATGGGCATTGACAGGCATCACTGATGGGCACTGAAAGGCAGCACTGATAGGCGCCACTGACTGGCACTGATAGGTGGCACTGACTGGCACTGTTAGGAGGTACTAATAGGCGGCACTGACGGGCACTGATAGGCGGCACTGATTGGCAGCACTGATAGGTGGCACTGATTGGCATTGATAAGTGGCACTGACTGGCACTGATGGGTGACACTGAAAGGCAGCTCAGATGGGCACTGATATGTGGCACTGATGGGCACTGGCACGTAGCACTGATGAGCACTGACAGGTGGCACTGCTGGGGCTACACTGATCATCAGGGCACACTGATCATCAGTGCTCTGATGATCAGTGTACATGTCCCCTCCGCGGAATGCCGCTTAACAGCTCTCCTCTCCTCTCAAGCTGTCAGCGTGACAGCTCGGGAGGAGAGAAATGCAGATAACCGACATTTCCCTGTTTACATGTGATCAGCTGTGATTGGACACAGCTGATCACATGATCGAGCCGACATCTTCGGCTCTTTCCATGGATCGGTGATCCGCTGTGTCTGAGGGACACAGCGCACCGCCGATCGCCGCGCTGCACGCTCCGGGAGCCGCGCATGCGCGGTTAGAATGGGAGGATGTCATATGACGTCCTCCCAGAATGAGAGAACCACCTTGCGTCCGTCATATTACTATATGGCACGCAGGAGGTGGTTAATAAATGAATGCATTCTTGACATATTACACAATGAGCGGTTACTTTTTCCCTCTTGGGTATTCAGTGTGTGGAGAGACATCTGCCATCTAAAAGATATATAATTTGGAGGATCTCTTACACATTATCTGGATTTTCCTCCTGAGGTTACCTGTAAGTTTTTCTTTGTATCCTGAGCAATATTTCTGGCAGTTGTAACTGTATTCTTTCTTTGGTCCTGACCTTGGCTTGGTATCAAGAGAACTTTTCACTTCTTAATAAGTGATTTAACAATACTGACTGGCATATTCAAGGCTTTGGACATCTTTTTATATCCTTTTCCATGTTTTAAAGTTCCATTACCTTGTTTCGCAGGTATTTTGACAGTTCTTTTCTGCTTCCCATTGCTCAGTATCTAGCCTGTTCAATGCATCCACGTATCAGCTAACAAACTCACTCACTGATTTCTTATACAAAGACACAAATTGCAACTTAAAAAGTCACAGATGTGGGAAATTAACTTTTAATTTGCAATTTTAACCTGTGTGTGTCGCCTTGTGCGTCTGTACCAAGGCCAAACATTCTAGGTTATGTAAACTTTTGATCAGAACCATTTGCGTGATTTCTGTTATCATTATGATTGACCAATCACAGCAGGTCACATGACAGTTGTAAACAATGGATGGCTTCCTTTCATGCCATTCATTGTTGTCACGTACCTGATAGGAGACTGAAATGACGAGGTCGGCCTCACTTGTGTCACTAGCCCTGACCCCACTGGAGGTGGAACAGAGGGTGTCTAGGGACCAAGAGGACAAGAGCGCCAGTAGATGTTGTTTGCAGCTCTTGCGGTTGGTGACCTTGGAAGACTGATGAACCTCCGATTCAGGCACAGTAGTAATATGCAGAGCTGGTATGGTAGATCGCCAGGTGTGCACCAGAGCAAGGCAGGAACCTGGGATGGGAGACAGCAGCAGTGTCAAAGGAATAGCCAGGGTCATCAACCGGCGGACAGCGAGGTACCAAATCATAAGCAAGCCAAAGTCAGGAGCAGAGCCGAAGTCAGGAACCAGTATCAAGCAGGAGAGTAATCACAGTCAGGTCAGGAACAAGCCGGGTCAGCAACAAGGAAATCACACAGGAACGAGCAGGAAACGTGGAACAGCTGAAGACCAGTCAGCACTTAGCACAGGCAGAGGCACCTTTTAAATAGTCTGTCTGGCGCCAATCTTTGCCGTGCGTGTGCGTGATCGCGCATTTCTGTGCGTATGCGCACGTCTATTCGCCAGCCATCTCACGGGAATTCCCTTACATTGCCTCCCCCCCCCTTAGGGGCAGCCTCCGAATGCCTACTAAAGCTTGTTTTTCAGGATGAAGATGAAGGTAAGCCTGCACTAACCGTGGAGCATGGACATTAGCGGATGGTGCCCAGTAATTATCCTCTGGACCGTAGGCTTTCCATTTGATGAGGAACTGGGTCTGACCACCCCTCTTTCTACAATCCAGGAAAGCCTCCACCTCGTATTCTTCATTACCTTCGACCAGCAGTGGAGCAGGAGTCTCCAGATCTCGATCCGGAAATAAACTTGGTATAGTTGGTTTTAACAGGGAGATATGGCATACCGGATGAATCTTCATATTGTTTGGTAGTATTAATTCAAAAGCCACAGGGTTAATTTTTCTCTTAATAGTAAGTGGTCTGAGGTATCTTGGACCAAGCTTCTTTCTAGGACAGTTCAATTTTAGGTTTGTAGTAGATAACCAGACTTTATCTCCTGGTTTCAGATTTAGGATGCCCCTTCTTTTTCTGTCAAAAAATGTTTTGTTACTTGCTTGAGCCTCTAAAATAGTTTTTTGTAGTATTTGGCCATTCCTACTGAGGAAATTCATCCTTTCTTGTACTGCCGGGACAGCGAGTTCCACCGGTATTTCAGGAAGGAAGGAAGGGTGATATCCATAGTTGGAGTAAAAAAGGGGACTGTTTGGTAGCAGAGTGGATGGAGTTGTTGTATGCAAATTCAGCTAATGGAAGGAGAGACACCCAGTCATCCTGTGTATAAGATGAGAAACATCATAGGTATTGTTCCAGAGTCTGGTTTGTCCTCTCCATTTGTCCATTTGTTTGTGGATGATATGCAGAAGAGAAGCGAAATTCGATCTCTAGTGCCTCACACAGAGCTTTCCAGAACTTAGAAGTGAACTGTACTCCCCGATCGGACATGATATTGTTAGGAACACCATGTAATCTTACTATTTCTCTGATAAAAGCAGAAGCAGTCTCAGCGGCAGGAGTCCCTTTAAAGGGAATTAAGTGAGCCATCTTTGACAGACAATCAATCACGACAAAAATAGTGGTGAATCCTTCAGATGGGGGAAGCTCTACAATAAAAATCCAGAGAAATCATACTCCATGGCTTTTCAGGTACTGACAGAGATTCCAACAGGCCCCAGGTTTTGGCTTTATCAGACTTGTTTCGAAGACATACTGAGCAAGATCTAACATAGTTCTTACAATCCTTCATTAAGTTTGGCCACCAGAAGGACCGGGAGACCAAATTTGAGGTCTTGTGGATCCCGAAGTGCCCCGATAAAGGATGATCATGACATCTTTTAAGGATGAGAGTCCTGAGTTGTTCTGGTATGTAAATGTGTTCCTTGTGAAGGTACAGACCGTCTCTTAGCTGAAGATACATCTCCAAGGGGGGTGGATGATCATCAACCACTTCTCTTATTTGTGCTACAAGGTCTGTTTGCAAGAGTAAAAAGTTCTTAGCTGGCACAATCGTTTCAGGTTCGGATGGTACAATTGGGTCATGAAACATACGTGAGAATGCATCAGGCTTACCGTTCTTTGATCCTGGACGGTATGTCAAGTGAAACACAAAGCGGGAGAAACAGTGCCCATATTGCCTGTCATGGCCTTAGGCGTTTCTCAAGTACTCTAGGTTCTTGTGATCCATTAAAATGAGGATAGGATGGGAAGCTCCCTCCAGCAAGTAGCTGCCTTGATGGCTAACAGCTCTCTGTCTCCCATGTCATAATTCCTTTCGGAGGAGCTTAACTTTCTAGAGAAGAAAGCAACATTGTCGTTGTGACAATATAGCTCCAACAGCATTTTCAGAAGCATCTAATTCAAGGACATAAGCTAAGGCAGGATCTGAGTGCTTCAGGATAGGAGCAGAGGTGAACAAGGTTTTTAATTGTTCAAAGGCTGCTTGAGCCTCAGGAGTCCACTTGAAAGTAACGTTGCCTGGTTAACTGTGTTACTGGTGCAATGATTCCTGAAAAGTTCTTAATGAATTTTTTGTAAAAATTGGCAATTCCCACAAAACGTTGTATTGCTTTCCTGTCTCTTGGAACGGGCCATTTTAATGCGGAGGTCACCTTCTGGGGATCCATAGCAATGCCATCGGGGGGTGATTACAAGTCTGAGGAACTGAATAGTCTGTTTCTCAAACTCACACTTTTCAGCTTTGGCATAGAGGTGACGTTGGTGTAATCTATCCAGAATCTTCTTTACATGATCCCAGTGTCATTCAATTGAGCTGGAAAAGACTAGGATGTCACCTAAGTAAACGATAATAAATAAATCAAGATTGTCCCGAAATATACCGTTCACAAAGTGTTGGAATGTTTCTGGGGCATTACAGAGGCCAAATGGCATCACCAGGTATTCGAAATTCCTAAAGCGTGTTCGAAAGGCCATCTTCCATTCATCCCCTTCGTGAATTCTGACTAAATTCTCAGATCCAGCTTTGAAAAGACACATGCCCCTCGTAGCCTTTGGAACAATTTGGGAATCAGCGGAAGAGGATAGAGATTCTTGACTGTTATTTTATTCAGATCACGGTAGTGTACACATGGTCTGAGGGTATGATCCTTCTTCTCGACAAAGAAGATGCCAGCTCCCGCTGGTGATGTAGAGGGCCGAATAAACCCCTTTTCCAAGCTTTCATCTATATAACTCTGGATGACCTCTAATTCCAATTCGGAGAGGGGGTAAATTCGCCCAAAAGGAATATCAGCACCGGGCAGAAGTTCAATAGGACAATCATAAGGGTGGTGCGGAGGAAGAGCATTGGCACTCTTTTTGTTGAATACATCCAGGTAATCATGGTAAGCGACAGGAACGAGTTTCACCATCTCAGAATCAGGATGGATACTAAGAAGAGGAGTTACTGTGCATGGTTCCTTTGGAATGCAATAGTTCTGACAATATTCGGAAGGGAAAAGGATCACCCCAGAAAACCAATTGATGGATGGGTTGTGCGCTCTTAGCCAGGGCATGCCAAGGATGACCGGAAATATAGGTGAAGTTATGACATCCAGACATAGAAATTCCTGATGTCCCAAGGAGGAATGGCAGAAAATTGGTATAGTCTCTTGTGTCACAGGACCAGAACTGATACCAGAGCCATCAGCCAGATGGACTGAAAGTCTTAGTATGGAGGGGGATCTTTTTTGGTTAGCGAAGGTCGAATCCATGAACCAGCTACAGGCACCAGAGTCTATAATTGCTAGAACAGTAATAGTTCTTTCAGCAAGCTGTAAGTGAAGGTGGAAGGAGAGGTGCGTTTGACTTGTTCCTTGGGGGTGCATCATATGGAAGCAGCTAGGAGAAGACTTATGAGGTCTCACTGGACACGTCAGTACATAGTGACCTGCATCACCACAGTAGAGACAGAGGTTGGAGTTTTGTCGTCAAAGACGTTCAGCAGAGGATAACCGTGGTCTCCAGAAGCTCCTTCTAGGAGAATTATGATGCCTTCTTTTACTGGGGACTATGTCTGATGTGACA